CTAACTAGTTATAACTCCGTTAATAACAATTAGAAGTTCCGCTAACTGTTACTAACTACGCAGGGCCTTCAGGTGTATACACACACATATATACATATACATACATACACACATACAAACATACATGCATACATATGTATGTATATCTGTAAATATAGATGTACACATGTGCACATACACACATATGTATACATACATACATACATACATACATGCATGCATACATACATACATACACACATACACACATACACACATACAGACATGCATGCATGCATGCATGCATGCATGCATACGTACACATACACACATACACACATACACACATACACACATACACACATACATACATATATACATACATGCATACATACAAACATACATATATACATACATACATACATACATACATACATACATACATACACACCCATACATACATACATACATACATACATACATACATACATACACACACACATACATACATACATACATACATACATACATACATACACACATACACATACACATACCCATACATACATACATATATACATACATACATACATACATACATACATACATACATGCATGCATGCATGCATACATACATACATACATACACACACGCATGTATACATACATACATACATTACATACATACATACATACATACATACATACATGTATACATACACACATACATACATACATACACACATACATACATGCATGCATGCATGCATGCATGCATGTATAAATCCATCCAAACATACATGCATACATGCATCCATCCATCAATACATACATAGTTAGATATATATATATATATGTACACAATACGCATATTGATGAAACGCATGCGGATAGATCCGCCGACCACCTCTTGCCAGGATGAAAATGCGGGTGAGACGTTTAGCTATCCCCCTCCACGTTTCCCTGTCCCCTGGTGCCCAGATTCCCGTTTCGCGCGCGCTTCGCGCTCGCTTAGGTTCTAGCTAGGATCGTCACCGTCGTCATCATGAACATCACCATCGCCATCATTCCCCCCGCCAGGGATAATGTACATCGTTTCTGGATGCTTCTGGCCGGAATACGAAAGGAGTTTCTGTAGTTAGAGTCTCTGGGGGAAGTCGCGGGGCCCCTCAGGATACGTACGGATGCCTCTGATGATCCCCCAGCGTGCCCCACGAGATGGCCAGAGGGTGCCCGAACAGAACCCGAGGACGTCGACGACGGCGGCGATGAAGACGGCGGCGATCGCGGCGACGAAGGTAGCGGCGGTTGCCATGGGTTAGTACCCAATCAGAGCTTGCCTCTGTAAGGGTCCTGGCGGATTAAAAGGTTCGATGAGGTTCGGCAAGATTCCGGCCCCATGCGGCCGGGCCGGGTGCCCGGGTGCCCGGGTGCCCGGGTGCCCGGTGCCTGGGTGCCTGGGTGCCCGGTGCCCGGGTGCCGGGGTGCCTGGGGGTGCCCTATCGCCCTAAAGCCCTGTAGCCCTATTGCCCTATAGCCGTATAGCCCTATAGGACTATAGCCCAATAGCCCTATATCCCTATATCCATCTAGCCCTTTAGCTCTATAGCCCTCTGATCCTGTAGCCCTGTAGCCCTATAGCCCCATAGCTCTACAGCCCAACAATCCTATAGCCCAATAGCCGAATAGCCCACATAGCCCTATAGCCCTATGGCCCTAGCCCTATAGCCCTATAGCCCTACAGCCCTATAGCCCTGTAGCCCAATAGCCCTGTAGCCCAAGTCGTTTTCATCCTGAGTCGTTTTCTGACGGTCCCGGGAACCTGCGAGGGGCCCCGGAGGCCGAAAATTAACAAAAACCGCCGTCGTGTTTTTTCCAAGACGTCGGAGGTCCAGGTCGTGCTTCCCGCCTCCCCAGACCTCCGACGTCGTAATTTTTGCGACCTCGGGCCCAGGAATCGATTGGGAAAACGCACATGGGAAGGCAAGAAATGATGGACCCATCATTTCGTACCTGTGCCTTGATCAGTGGGACGGGCTTCGCACCGCCGCACATCACAAGACACGCTCGAGCGGATCCAGCCGTGGCGACGTCGGGGACTGCAGAAGGTCGCAAGGACACATAATGTGAAAGGAAGAGAGAGAAAGAGAGAAAGAGAGGGAGAGAGAGACAGACAGACAGAGAGCGAAGGAGAGAGAGAGAGAGAGAAAGAGAGATGGAGAGAGAGAGAGAGAGACAGAGAGAGAGACACAAAAAAAAAAAACAGAGAGAGAGAGAGAGGCAGAGAGAGGAAATGGAGAGGAGGCGAGCTTGAGTCAACGTGGAAGGGGGCAGGGGGAAGAAGGCCAGAGAGCGCTGAAGGATACAAATACTGGAACCCTCTTGGGATTTTTTGGGGGGCCTCGTCCGGCCGCTCGCTGGGAGTTTGACGTAGCTTCTCGGGAGCCTCTGAACCTGTCGGAGGCCTCCTGGAAGCAGGTTCGAAGCATTTTGGGGGCCGATTTGGGGCTTCTCGGGGCCTCCTTTGGGCCTCTTGGGGGTCTCCTGGGACCTCTTGAGGGGCCTCCTTGGGGCCTCCTGGCGGCCTCTTGGGGCGGAAGGCTCGAGCTTGCGGTTCGTGGTCCCCCTCTGGGCCCCCTCTTGGGCCCGTCTTGGGGCCCTCTTGGGCCATCTTGGGCGCCTCTTGGGCCGTCTTGGGGCCCTCTTGGGCTGTCCTGGGGCCCTCTTGGAAGCTTCTTGGGCCGTCTTGGGGCGGTCTTGGGCGCCTCTTGGGCCGTCCTGTAACGTCGGAAAGCCCAAAAGGCAACTGTGTGAAAAATGTACGTTTTACGAAGGGAATGGGCCAATTTTTGCGTCTAGGGGCCCTCTTGGGGCGCATGTTGGAGGCTTCTTGGGGCGTCTTGGGGGCGTCCTTGGACGTCTGGAGGCCATCTTCAGCATCTTGGAACCCTCTTGGAGGCCTCTTGGAAGTTGCTTGGGCCGTCTTGGGCGCTTGTTGGGCCGTCTTGTCTGACCGGGGGGGCCTACGGCAAGCCCCGACGAGCCTCCGGGCCCCCCGGAGCCCACATTTGTGGTCGGGGTCCCGGCCCCGGGCCCCCGGACCCGGTGCGCCGTTATATGTATATATACAAATATTGATATTGATCAGTGCCAGATAGATAGATATCATAAGATATATAGATGTCATATATCAATCATACATTTATATATGTAACATACCACATTGATGCATGCATATAAATGTTAGATGTCATAAATTGATCAGTTTTTTTTCTGACTATTATCAAACTTCGAGTTCGGATTGGTCGTGTTATTCGTGTCGCGGTTCAAACTGGGACTAATCGTACGATCCGCATTGCAATTCGTAGAAATTGGAATGCTAGCCGTAGAAATGACAGACGTAGAAGTAGTACGAGTAGTAGTAGTAGTAGTAGTAGTACGAGTAGTAGTAGTAGTAGTAGTAGTAGTAGTAGTAGTAAGAGTAGTAGTAGTAGTAGTCGTAGTAATGGAAGTAGCAGTAGTAGTTGGAGTAGTCATAGTAGTGGTAGTAGTAGTAGTAGTGGTAGTAGTAGTAGTAGTAGTAGCAGTAATAATAGTGGTAGTAATAATATTGGTAGTAATCGTAGTAGCAGCAGCAGCAGCAGCAGCAGCAGCAGTAGTAGTAGTAGTAGTAGTAGTAGTAGTAGTCGTAGTAGTACTAGCAGTAGCAGAAGTAGTAGTACAAGTAGTAGTAGTAGTAGTAGCAGCAGTAGTAGTGATAATAGTCGTAGTAGTCGTAGTAGTAGTAGTAGTAGTAGTAGTAGTAGTAGTAATAATAGTAGTAGTAGTAGTCGTAGTAGTAGAAATAGAAATATAAGTAGAAATATTAGTAGTAGTAGTAGTAATAGTAGTATTAGTGGTAGTAGTCGTAGTCGTAGTCGTAGTAGTAGTAGTAACAGCAGCAGTAGTAGCAGTAGTATTAATAGTAGCAGTAGTAGTAGTAGTAGTAGTAGTAGTAGGTAGTAGTAATACTAGTAGTAGTAATAGTAGTAGTAGTCGTAGTAGGTAGTAGGTAGTAGGTAGTAGGTAGTAGGTAGTAGGTAGTAGGTAGTAGGTAGTAGGTAGTAGGTAGTAGTAGTAGTAGTAGTAGTAGTAGTAGTAGTAGTAGTAGTAGTTGTAGTAGTAGTAGTAGTAGTAGTAGTAGTGGTAGTAGCAGTAGTAGTAGTAGTAGTAGCTGTAACAGTAGCAGTAGCAGTAATAGTAGTCGTAGCAGTAGTAGTAGTAGTAGCAGCAGCAGCAGCAGCAGTAGTAGTAGTAGTAGTAGTAGTAGTAGTAGTAGTAGTAGTCGTAGTAGTAGTAGTAGTAGTGGTAGTAGTGGTAGTAGTAGTAGTAGTAGTAGTAGTAGTAGCATTGAGAATAGTAGTAGTAGTAGTAGACAGTCGTACTATTACCACTAGTCCGAGTGGATTCGCAGCATTCGTATTATCACTCGTACCATGATCACACGCACAACTAATAGCAGTAGTCTTACGATAATGATGATTGTTATCAGTCTGCGCACGCCATGTGGCTGAATGTGTATATAAATATACACACACATACGTTTCTGAGGAAACAGAAATCCTTCCTTTGGCAAGCGCGTCCCGCCACTCGCAGAGACGCTACTAGCACATGGCCTGGACCCGTCGCGGGGGATCCACGATGAATTATATCAAAGCAAGCATGTGTGTTTTTGTTTCTGGCGTTTGCGACTACCTACCAAATCACCCCAACCCAACCCGAATTTGACCCGAATTTCGGGTTTGGGGGGGTACGGGTTCCATGTGTTTTTTCAATGTTCCCGGACCCCCCCCCCACTAGAAATGGAGGGCAAATCGAGACCTTCGGGTTGGGTTGGGGTGGTTTGGTGGGCGGTGAGTTTGCGAGTAGGCACTCTGAGAGCAGTGGAGCGCGCTCGGCGATTCCTGGAGGCCCGGCACCACACGCCGAGCGCGAGGGCCCAGGGAGAGCAAGCGGCCCGCGGGGCCCGCGGCGGGGGGCTCCGACATGGCGTTCAGCCCCAGGCCGAGGCCCTCGCAGATCCCCGCGGCGATCGCCAGCACGTTCTTCAGCGCCCCAGCGATCTTGCGGGGTCGGGGTCGGGGGGGGCGAAGAGCTCGGGCCGGGCGAAAGGGCGGGGAAGCAAAGGGGGGGTTCGAGAATCAGCTCACGTAGCTGATCTTCCTGGCGCCTCCTGGCGCTGGGAGGCGCCCATGTATAGAGGAATGGGCCCCTCGGTGGGGCCGAAACCAGTTGCATGCAGCATATTTCGTAACCCCCCCTTTCCCAATCCCCCCTTCTCGTTCGGCCCGAATATCCCAAACGAGAGCAACGGGGGCTCATGCCTTCGAGACTCCTGGACAAATGCATATCATGCCCGCCACTGGGCTATCCAAGCTATCCGCCCTATCGCCGCCTCCGGGGCTGAATCAGGGAGGCATACATAAAAGCTCGGATTCGGGGGGGCTCGGATTGGCCTGACGGGGCCTGACTGGCCTGAAATTTGATGCGAACTCCCGCTGCACACCACCACACCACCCACGGAATGGACCGCCAAATCGACGGGCCCGTCAAAAACGTCCGCAAACCTAAGTTCCGGCGAACCCGGATCTGACGCTTCCCCGATTGAAGGAAAGGATCGAAGGAGTGAGGTTCGGGAGGCAATTGTTTGTGTTTCTGCCTCATTACGCCTCCTAGGCGTCCTCGTCGCCTCCGAAATGTTGGCCAGAACTTACCCCTGAAAGGATCCAGGGGAGGATCTTTGACGATCGCCGAACCAGAAAGGAATTCCTAAAGGACACGGATCTGGGCTTCCACGGGCCACAAGACTACCAAAACAATTCCTGGCGAAGGAGCCAGTCATGCGCAATTGTGAATATCGCAGTTGCGAGCCCCGCCTTAGGTGGAGCTCTCTATCGGGCCACGAAGCGCGTGAGGGGTGTGCCGAAATGGGTGCGGTGGCGTCATGCGAACCCTGCCACTTGGGCTTTCGGTGGAGCTCGCCATAGGCCACGAGACATGTGAGGGGTGTGCCGAAATGGGTGCTGTGGCGCCATGCGAACCCTGCCACGGGGGCCCCCTGCGGAGCTCCCTATGTGGCCACGAAGCGTGCGAGGGGTGTGCGGAAATGGGCACGGTGGCGCCATGCGAACCCTGCCACTGGGGCCTTCGGTGGAGCTCCCCATGGGGCCACGGAGCGTGTGAGAGGTGTGCCGACATGGGCGCGGTGGCGCCATGCGAACCCTGCCACCATTGGGGCCTTCGGTGGAGCTCCCATGGGGCCACTGAACATGTGAGGGGTGTGCTGAAATGGGTGCGGTGGCGCCTTGCGAGCCCTACCACTGGGGCTTTCGGTGGAGCTCCCAATGGGGCAACGGAACGTGTGAGGGGTGTGCCGAAATTGGTGCGGTGGCGCCATGCGAACCGTGCAACTGAGGCATTCGGCGGAGCTCCCCATGGGGCCACGCAGTGTGCGAGGGGTGTGCGGAAATGGGCACGGTGGCGCCATGCGAACCCTGCCACTGGGGCCTTCGGTGGAGCTCCCCATGGGGCCACGGAGCGTGTGAGAGGTGTGCCGACATGGGCGCGGTGGCGCCATGCGAACCCTGCCACCATTGGGGCCTTCGGTGGAGCTCCCATGGGGCCACTGAACATGTGAGGGGTGTGCTGAAATGGGTGCGGTGGCGCCTTGCGAGCCCTACCACTGGGGCTTTCGGTGGAGCTCCCTATGGTGCCACGAAACGTGTGAGGGGTGTGCCGAAATTGGTGCGGTGGCGCCATGCGAACCCTGCAACTGAGGCATCCGGCGGAGCTCCCCATGGGGCCACGGAATGTGTGAGGGGTGTGCCGAAATTGGTGCGGTAGCGCCATTTGAACCCTGCCACGGGGCCTTCGGTGGGGCCCCCCGTGGGGCCATGCAACGTGTGAAGGGTATGCCGAAATGAGCGCGCTGGCGCCATGCGAACCCTGCCACTGGGGCCTTCGGTGGAGTTCACTGTGGGGCCACGGAGCATGTGAGGGGTGTGCCGAAATGGGTGCGGTGGCGCCATGCGAACCCTGCCACTGGGGTCTTCGGTGGAGCTCCCCATGTGACCACGGAACGTGTGGGAGGTGTGTAGAAAGTGGTGCGGTGGCGCCATGCGAATCCTGCAACCGGGGCTTTCCATAGAGCACCCGGTGAGGACCTGAAACGTGTGAGGGGAATGCCGAAATACGCGCGGTAGCGCCATTTGAACCCTGCCACTGGGGCCTTCGGTGGAATTTCATATGGGGCCACGAAGCGTGCGAGGGGTGTGCCGAAATGTGCGCAGTGGCGCCATGCGAACCCTGCCACGGGGGCCCTCGGTGGGGTTCCCTATGGGGCCACGAAGCGTGCGAGGGGTGTGCCGAAATGTGCGCGGAGGCGCCAGGCGAAGCCCTGCCACTGGGGCCTTCGGTGGAGCTCCCTGTGTGGCCACGAAACGTGTTTGGGGTGTGCCGAAATGCGCGCGGAGGCGCCATGCGAAACCCTGCCACTGGGGCCTTCGGTGGAGCTCCCTATAGGGCCGCGCAACATGTGGGGGTGTGCCGAAATGGGTGCTGTGGCGCCATGCGAACCCTGCCACTGTGGCCTTCGGTGGAGCTCCCATGGGGCCACGAAACGTGTGAGGGGTGTGCCGAAATGGGTGCGGTGGCGCCATGCGAACCCTGCCACTGGGGCCTTCGGTGGAGCTCCCTGTGTGGCCACGAAACGTGTTTGGGGTGTGCCGAAATGGGTGCTGTGGCGCCATGCGAATCCTGCCACTGGAGCCTTCGGTGGAGCTCCCTATGGGGCCGCGCAACATGTGAGGGGTGTGCCGAAATGCGCGCGGAGGCGCCATGCGAACCCTGCCACGGGGGCCCCCTGCGGAGCTCCCTATGTGGCCACGAAGCGTGCGAGGGGTGTGCGGAAATGGGCACGGTGGCGCCATGCGAACCCTGCCACTGTGGCCTTCGGTGGAGCTCCCATGGGGCCACGAAGCGTGTGAGGGGTGTGCCGAAATGGGTGCGGTGGCGCCATTCGAACCCTGCCACTGGGGCCTTCGGTGGAGCTCCCAATGGGGCCACGGGACGAATGCGAGGTGTGTCTAAATTGGTGCGGTGGCGCCATGCGAGTGCCGTCGGTGGAGCTCCCATGGGGCCACGCAGTGTGTGAGGGGTGTGCTGAAATGGGTGCGGCGGTGGCGCCATGCGAACCCTGCCACTGGAACCTTCAGTGGAGCTCCCCGTGGGGCCATGGAACGTGTGAAGGTGTGCCGACATGGGCGTGGTGGCGCCATGCGAGCCCTGACGCCGGGGCCTTCGGTGGAGTTCATTATGGGGCTACGGAACGTGTGAGGGGTGTGCCGAAATGGGCGCGGTGGCGCCATGCGAACCCTGCCATTGGGGCCGTCGGTGGAGCTTCCTATGGGGCCACGGAACGTGTGAGAGGTGTGTCAAAATTGGTGCGGTGGCGCCATGCGAACCCTGCCACTAAGGTTTTCAGTGACGTGTGTCAAAATGGGTGCGGTGGCGCCATGCGAGCCCTGCCACTGGGGCCTTCGGTGGAGCTCCCTATGGGGCCACGGAACGTGTGAGAGGTGTGCCGAAATGGTCGGTGCGGTGGCGCCATGCGAACCCTGCCACTGGGGCCTTCGGTGGAGCTCCTCATTGGGCCATGAAGCGTGTGAGGGGAATGCCGAAATGGGTGCGGTGGCGCCATGCGAACACTGCCATTGGTGCCTTCGGTGAACTCCATATGGTGCCACGAAACGTGTGATGGGTGCGCTGACATGGGACATGTGAGGACATGCGGAGGGCAGAGGCAATGGATGGCATTTGTTTGGCATTCGCTTCGGGGTGAACTAAAGTCAGGCGCGTTCCTCGGACAGCAGCTGACCTCCAGACCATTGCCTGAGGCGCTGCCGGTGCCGATTCGGCTACCGAACCCTGCCCCAGAGGGAGGAGGAGGAGGAGGAGGAGGAGGAGGAGGAGGAGGAGGAGGAGGAAGATTGGAGAAAGGGAGGGGGAAGGAGATCAACTGCTATGCGCTAGGGTAACTCACTTCCCACAGTCTAATGGGCTGACCACCTAGCAAAGCGAGACCTGACCACCCCTCCAAAAGGGATGACAAGAGTGAGAATGCCCACCCAACCTTTCCCCTCACAGACAAGAACATCCCCTGGACGCCAACGTGCAGGTTCGGGTTTTCAGGCATGGCGTTGCCATGGCACGACCCGCCAGGAGAGGGCAGAGTTTTGCAACCTAGCCCTGGCTGCCAATTCCATGCGCTGTCTGGTGGGAGAGAAGGGGATAAACTGGGCTGCAGAGGAGATGGGAGGACTGGAAGGATTCAGGCTGCAAGACTTCGGTTGCCTGCCTGCTGGCCTACAAGATTACTTGTGCCTTACTTGCTGGGAAAATATGCACACGACGCTGTAGAGCTCACCCTCGCAGAAGTATGAATGGTCCATGAAATGATTTGCAACTGCACATCCTATTGCTTGCACAAAGCGAGGGGCCTGGACGAGATTTGACAATAATGGCTATACGCTGCGCGTTCTAGCGCCTGCGGCCGTCACGATGATGACGGTGAGCTGAGGGAAGCCATGCTTGGCAAAGTGTGCCTGATTCGATTGCATGCTAGCGAACTGTTTCAGTCCTGCCAGCAAGGTGGCTTAGAAGTGATATTAGACATGGAGAAGTCCACATCAAAAGCGCAGATACGACCGCATTGAGAAGAACATGCCGTGACCATTGATAGCTCACGCCAAATGGCCTTCTAGCCAAGCTGATGTGCTCCGTCGCCTGAGGCCAATTCCCAAAACGTGCTCACTACTTGCAATGTTAGGCATTTACTTGAGGGGCTCTTCCCTCATTTTGCTGTCTCTGCCGACTTGCTGTTCTGGGCTGGATCCTCCGAGCCCCTGGTCTGCTTGAGCCTCTTGAACTCGTCCCTAGCATTGTCGAGCTGCTCTGCCAACGATTTGATGCGAGCCTCCTGTAAATTCTGCTTGAGTTCTTCCATTCTGGATAACGAACGATCGCCTTCGCTGGTTACCTCTGGATGGGCTTCGGACTCTGAGCT